ATGAATCTCAACGGCCTTCTCCGTGGCTAGGATACGATTCGTGAACGGCTTAGATCGGCGATCCCGAACACAGTAGAGAGAACGAAACGCTTGTCATGCTTACTGCGCGATTAGGTTCTACGAGATGTGAAACGATGATAGTTCTACTGGATTTAATGATACCAATGTTCAGCCAGGCCGGATGATGTTCTCGAACTATGGTAGATAGGCGCCTGCTCGTAGGAGCGATATACGCCACTCCATAGTAAAGTGTTTTGGATTCCCTGTTGTACGAGGAATGAAAGTTTTGAGTCACTTATTGAATCAGTAGTGAGAAAACATATCCAATGAAAACGCAATATACTACGGAAGAGACCATATTCTGCGAAACTTGCCAGTGAGTTCCCAAGCAATCCGGAAAGAGTGATGCACTACTTCCTCTCTATGAAATTACACAAACTGTTCGTCGAAGTTCTGATCACCCCCCACCCTCACCCCAGAAACTCAATTTTGTCGCCCAAGCGGGGAACTTGAACAACTAAATGTGTAATTGGGGTTCGAAAGCCTTTTCCCTCAAGGGTCAGATTTATCGTCATCTTCGTCGAAAAATGTGGTTTAGCTGAAATTTCCACAAGTGAACATATATCGCTACCTTCTTGGAAGCAAACCGGTGCCAAAAGATATAACGACAGTACTGTACCTATGGCGGTTGAAGACATTGAGGAATAACCATGAGATGATTCTGTGCTGATCGAATAAGGGCATAGGGGTTGTCCTATTAAACATATCAGATTACTTGTCCAAGCTGGACGCCATACCCAACAACAACACAAATTTCAAGGTGACCGGAGAAACGCATAAAACGGAACAGCCAGAACAGAAACTGTCAAAGACAATCGGAACTCTAGAGTAGAAGGGCGTTATAGATACGCATACGTGTTGGTGGTAGGCAGCTGTGCTGTAGTCCGGTTCAGTACCACGCCTACCACACCTAACCTAACCTATCGGGGCCTTATGTGGTTTACCACTCCAAGTCCCGGGGCTAGACTACCGGTTTCTATCACTGAACAGGTCGTTGTGACTACGAGGCTTTCTCCGTCAGCTGTTCATCACACAAAAGTGAGTAATAAGAAATAAAAAAGAACTGATCCGATCGACCGGAACAATCTTAAGATTGTACGGTTTACCCCGAGTATACAAAGATGGGGTGTCTCTCACACCGATTTGAGACATGAGCAATTTCCCGATATCATCAATAGCCAAATGGCCAGTGGCAATTTAGGATTCAATGAGAACTACCCTTTTAACCCACACATTACCAAACTCTTTCTCCCTAAAAGATGCCGCCGAAAACGAAAATTTAGATGACTAATAAATGATACCCACTTTTTACTAATTTTCCTATCACAGAGACTATCAAATATGTTTGACCAAATCCAGGAAAATTACATCCAAACAACACCTTGAAACAGTAATTACAATTGTAATTCTGCATCGAAAACATTCATTTTATGTTCAACGACGGAATCGATCGCCATAATAACAGAGTGATAACCGAATCTCCGCTCGGTACTCTATTCACTATTCAGGTCCACGAAACGGCATATGATTTTGAAGTCCACGATTAAGCAATCCAACAGTAAATTCACTGTGGAAGAAAAGGTCAGTTGCGGGATCGGTTTTCTCCATATCTGTTTAAAGCATCGCACAGAGATTGATCTCTGGAAAACTGACTTGGAATGGTCAGTGCCTAAATTTCAGAAATACTATTTTGTAGGAATGAAATGGTCTGTAAGATTGAATTGTTAGTATCATAACTTTGCAATGTGACAAGTGATTGTTTTAGCGATCCCCAGTATAGGCATGGAATCTGCGAAAAGCATATTAGTACGTGACTTACATGAGCCATATCGCATGCAGTAACTCGACTGTTTACGGCAACCAAGTCGAACGAGTAGACCTTTTTCTCCTCACCCAGGGCCATTGCCAAACGTGCATCACCACAACCCATGTCTGCAATACGGATTTTCCGACCCCGCGATATTTCATTCACATAGTTAACAATCCATTGCAATGGGTCATCCGGCCATTGTGTCAATTGTTGTTGAAATCCCGCATGGTACACCTCAAATGCTTTAGGGTCCTCTTCAAACAGCTCCAATGCTTCCTTGCTAGAACACGTGTACAGTTTTTCATTGAGGAAACGAAACCTATACCAAATGAGCAAACGTCAACTCAACTTACATGGAACTATGAATCAGTGCGTCTAAAGAGTCTTTCGTGCGCACTTTCTTCATCAAACCATTGCCTATTGTCAATGTGGAGTATTGCGGCACACGAGACTTTTTGCTGGATTTGACCGATTTACGTTTGTTGCGCGATTTCCTAGCTGGGTCCAGTACCTTTTTTAACTTGCATATTTCTGATTTTCGCATTATTCTGAATATAGACGGCAGGAAATATTTTGTAGTTCGTGAGGAAATTTTGAGAAAAATAATGATAAACACGAAGAGTGAATGACTTTCATAAAAAAACGTGTACAGAGGCTGTCAGAAAATCTTCCATTCTGATGTGGGCATATACATGATACATGTATTCTACTATCCCATTACAGAGTAGGACAGGTATTCTGCATACCTAACAGTCGTCTATAAGACCCCGACCGAATCAGCAGTTGCCGGTCCTAATGGGAAAAATCGTGTGGATGTCCACAGATGGAGCAAGCAGAATTGCCCAAGTTGATTGCAGAGAGATGGCTCACACCTTCCGGTCTGAAATCCAAAACACAGCTTGACTGGTTGGTTGGAGGCATTAAAGGATATGACAGCGAACCGGCAGTAACGTTCACGGTGTCAGTTTAAGTGGGTTCATCACAAGACTGCACTTTGACGTCGTGTAATGGCTTATGCATCTCTTGTGCGCATTATAAGAGTATGCCGTTTAACTGCGCATACGCATTCCGACCTGATAAGTGACAACAAGAACACCACTGCTGTCGGTTATCCATCATGTCCTTCAGTGTCTCTAACTAGCCAGTTACTGAGTCCTTTGGAACTAAGCTTTATTGCTTAGTACACTTCTTCATGCCTCGTCTTCAAGTCATCTAATGATATGCACTTGGTTTTCTCTAACCCGCTGACGAAACCGCAGATAAGACGCGATGTGGTAGGCGGTTGTTAGATACACGCGAAACGTGTCCTAACCAGTNCAGTGAAGTCTATCGAGCTGAATTCGATGGGGTAACGAATTTTTCCTTGCTATATCCTGAAACATACGACGATTTATCTCTAGGCGTCTAACCCGATCACTTCATCCAACCTGAGTCAGACCACGTAAACATCGATTGTCAATAACCTCCAAGCGATGGTTATTTTCTATCAGCAAAATCAACGTCTCACAATCAGAACTGATTTTACAGTGGCGCAGTGTACATGACCTTCCAAATTCAGAGAAAAGTTATCTCGCTGTCACAGGTAAATTAGTAATGCGTACGCTGCCCGAGCCTTGGAAGTGCGTGCGCTTATCTCCTTTACTGCGACCGTCTTGGGTTACGCAACTGACGAAGTACGGACAGCAGTCAACTTCACCTAACTGCTGATCTAGTTTCAAAACAGTGTTATTTTACATCCCGTCTTGTAGTTAACGAAACTTCTGGGTTCAGTGTGGGAGTGAGAACAGATTCCCAACTGAATGGTGTCAATCGGTGTCCATACCGGTTTACAAAATAGGCGATAGGTCCACTTGTGAAAACCACAGAGGAATTGGTTTAATCAACATCGTCTCTAAACTTATTGCCGGCCTCATATTCCATCAATTATCCGCTGCACGTGAACGGTGCACGCGTAAGAACCCGGTTGGTTTAGTAACTGGTCGAGGTTGTATCAACTACATCACTCTTAATCAAATTCTGGAACACAGACACTCCTTCCATAGACCCAACCTTCATGTTTGCCTTGATCTGATACCGGCTTTCGATGACATCATCTGTCTGTTCGAGTGTATGGAGGACGCGCACTTGATAGATAAACACGTGCAGTAGCCACATTCGGTGTGTGCTTTGCACCTTCAAAGTGCAAAGTGGTGCTGTAGGAATGGGCCAGGATGTAGTTATGGTGGATTGCTTTTCCTACTTAGGTAGTTGCGTGACCAATGACGGTAGTGCAACAAAGGAGATAATCGCCCGCATTTCCAAGGCCCGAGCAGCATACGCAGAACTGAAACA